TGACGCTGAAACCTGGTGAGCCACAGAGACCCTCACAACCCAAGTCACTTCGCAAAGGGACCCCACTGGTATATCCTCCACAGACGGAGTTGTCTGCACACACCAGCTCACACTCACGGTTCTTTTCTTCTTCACTTCCATACTCATTCCTCCCTCCAGAGTCTCCGCGGAGGCTCTACCGCCCTACTGGGGTGCTCTGGGACCCCCTGCACCAGAATCAAGGCAGCATGCTGGCAGGGGCCTGGGGAGCGTCGCCATCTCAGTCCGTGTCGCCGTTCGGCTCCCCATTGATCCTCCTATGTTAATCAAACCCAGTCCGGAATGAAACTCCAGCGTGCTCCTCGCTCTGGTATGGAATGTGCAAAGCACAGACCATATCATTAACATAAAACTTCCAGAAATAAGGCCACTTTCCAGACAGACTGTATTAATTGCATCAAGCTGCCACAGCTAGGGTGGTCTAATCCATGGCGTCCCATCGGACGGCTCCAGTTATAAAACCAACACAAAATGAACGCTGGGATATAATTGAAGGAGGAGAAAACGACAGATTCTACGGCAAAGCCTACTATTTACTTACAGGTATTCTTTTATCTTTATTGTCCCTTTCACCCATGCCAAGAAACCCCAGACTAGTTAAATAACACAGCAAGCACAATTTCAGTAGAAAAGTAAATTGAATTTAACTTTACAAGATTGCCCTGTGATTTCAGCATATACTAATGACTGCAACTGACTCCCTCTATTAAATCCAAACACTTCCACCTCCCTGAGCCGGGATCCTGTGTGTTCCTCCGTGAGACCTTGACCCTCGCGAGGCGCAGGTATTCATCACTGGGGCTGATGGCCATTTGTGGCTTTTAAATATGCAATGAAGTGTCTCAGCTCCTCTTCCAGCTCCCAACGCTGGTGCATGGTCAGAGCCAGGAGGCCAATTGCCCTGCAGGATGGAAGCTGGGACCCAGCCTAAAGGAAGGGCCTACGCAGAGCTGGCCACGTGCCCCATAGAAGGCTATGAAACCCACCCTATTCACACACGAGTCCTAACTTCTACAGAGCTCTCAGGGCACAGCGCTGTCCTCAGTCCCTGGCCTCTATGACCTCATGCAGTCCTCGGAACGACCCTTCAGAGCATGCGCTACAATCATCCTCCATTTACAAATGTGAGAACTGAGGTACAGAGAGGGGAAATGGCTTGTCTGTGGCCACACAGCAGTGTCCCCTGCCCAGTAGTCTGGCACACTCTGGTGACTGCCTGTCAAGCCCGAAAGCCTCAGAACAGAGAAGGGTTACGGGGGAGGTGGGGAAGCAAAGCTCAGTGTTTTCACACTGTTCTCTGGATGCCCCTTCTCCTGCCCTGGAAACCCAGTCCATGACCACTCCACAACCTGTTTCAGAGAGCCACATGAGAAGCCTCATTTTTAAATGTCACATATATATTGGGTTGTCGGAAAAGTCACGATGCATTTTTGCATAGAAAAATACATTATGACTTTTCTGACAACCCAATACAGAAAGGAGACTTCAAAGGTTCATGGAAAAATGGAATTAAAGCACAAGTTTATTTTGGTGCAAAAAAGTTTTGATAGCATGCATCGTTTTTTATAATATCCATTTTGGATGAACTTTTGGAAGCTCCTCTTATATGCAAACGTAATATCTATTTTTCACATATATTACTTATTTCTTCCAGAAGAGAGAGATAGAGAAACAGGCACCCACCAGGGTCTTCATGCCTCGACTGACCCCCCCGCTTCAGTGGACCCAGATCACAGGTGTGCACACATGTGCACTGGCATGCCCAGGGAAGTCTCAGGAAGTGAACCCTAGGACCTTTTCCGTATGTGTCCAGTTGCAATACCACTGGGCCACTGTCTGGCCCTATATGTTTTTGCAGAAGGGGAAACTGAGGCTCAAAAATTACTTGTTCAAGGACCCCAGTCTGCCTGACTGATGGCCGGGGCCACAGCCAGAGACTCAATGTCACAGCCAGCATGACACAGCCTCTACTTGGAATTTCTCAGGGAAGAATTTTCAGTTCCCAGGAACCCCAACACTCAAAGTCCCACATTGTTTTAGCACAATCAAAAACAAACAGAGCCCCTAAGTCCCTTCTCCCCACTCCCTACTGCAACCGTGAGAAGGCGGTCTGGGGCTGGTGTCCGAGGAAGGCGCACCATTTGGGACACTGCCAGCCCTGGGCGTACACAAACACACGTACCTGTGTGGTTCTCTTCCCCACAAACTCACATCCTTCTTCTATAAATAACTGTGAACGCGTTCATGGGCATGCAATTAACCTGTGTGAAACACATTTACACTGGGGTTTTCCATATTAATTTGAAGAGATAGGTTCAATGCATCCTCCCCTGAAAGGGGACTGAGTAAAGCGAGGACCGTGGCCCACCCCATGGCTGCAGTGGACGGCCTCTTCCTAGTGGGATACAGGGGATTTAGAGACTCCTTTCCAACTACTAATTAAACAGGCACTAAAAACGCTTAAGCAAACAGCCCAGTGCCAGGGACAGAAACCACCTAGGACAAAAACACCAGCACACGGTATTTTCAGGTATTGAAATTGACCAGAAAATATGGTGACATGACCTGGTGCACGGTCATCAATGGCGAATGAGAACAGCTCTAGATACCAGGCCAGAGGGTCGAGAGTGAGGGCAGGCCCTTAGGTGTTTCCCAAGGGCTCAGCTCCCAGGAACGGGACGCCAGCCTTCCTCCCTGCTCTCCTCGCACACTGCCCATGAGTGTGGGGGCTACACACAGGCCCTCAAGTGCTAGAACCCCAGAAGGGCTCTAACCCAGATGAGCTGGATAAGGAACCTGGATCAAATCCCACAACAGCCCCTTCAAATGCCCTTCCTGCAGTCTCCATTCCCTCTCTTGCCCAAAGCTCCAAGCTGCAGGAGAGAAGGACCCCCAGGGCCTGCCTCTTCCTTTGTTTGCACAATGCCTATGAATCATGCCCAAGAAATGCCTTGAAGAAGGAATGAATGCATGTATGTGAGCTGTGACCTCAACAGCTCTAAGTCTCATTCTCTTATCTGCAAAGCAGAGCACGAAGCCTTAGGTTGCAGGGAGAATCCAACTCCAGGATGCACACAGAGCATAGCGCCTCCGAGGCCCCCGTTCTTCTAAGGAAGTGGGAGTGTGAGCACATGCTGACGGCAGAGCCCACGTGGAGCCAAGGCAGGGGAGATGCATTTGTCCTCCATGGATGGAGATGGGGCAGTGTGGCCCATGGGAAGGGGAGGCAGCTCGAGGACACATCCCAGCTCTGCTACCCGGGCCCAGACCTTGCCAAGCCCTTGTTTTCCCATCTGCAAAGTGGGGATGGCAACAGCACGTATTTTGCACTGCAAAGACGCCAGGAGGACCCAACACACAATAAGGAGGTGCTCAGTCCCCAGCCTGCACCTCAGCTACTTGGGCAGCTTCTCAGCCAAAGGCAACAAAGAGTTAAGCAGACCGTGTGCGCCTCTGGCGAGGAGATCACGTTTCTGCGCCGCAGAACTTGACCGAGTCCCATCGTAAACACTCACTCAGGCTGATCTTTGATAGTGCGCGGCCAGCAAGTGGCTGCAGGGTCTGCAGCACTAATTACAGGAAGCCATGAGAGCGGCCGCCGCCCAGACAGAGCAGCACCCCTGCTCACAGGCACGGGCCTCTACAGACTCAGAACAGATCCTCCAAGGGCCAGAGCCCCAGTCACTGTGAGGACCAGAGCGGCTCAGGACAGTCAGTTCTTTGCAAGGAGTTCCAACCCCTTCCTGGGTGACAGTGGTCTTGGTTTTGTGCATTGAGAGTACTAGTCCAGCAAGAAACCAGAGCTTCCCTGGGAAGCCAGACCCTATGACATCACCACCTGTCACAGTGGGGGGACTGAAAACTGCAGGCCACCCTACCAGCAGGAAAGCCCAGGGAGCTCTTGCCCTGGGGCAGAGGCTGCCTGTGGGCCTGGTACAGGGCTGTGACCATCCCTTGGGGCAGCTTCAATTAAAAGCAAACCTACCCAATAAAAATAGTTTTCTTCTCTCATCTCAAGTCCAGAGAAAGCGTGTGACATGCCTGGTGACAAAGCAGGGACAAATCGAGTCTGCCCCAGCTCTGCACCCCCCGCTCTTTTGCTGGCCTCTGCCACAGAAACCAGGGCCCGACCACTTACCACGTGTGGCTATGTAAGCATCCTGGCTCCGGTGGCCACAGTGCCTTCACCCCAGGCCCTGCAAGATGCTGGGCTGCAGAGGCTGGGACGAGGGCCCCGGCCTGCCCACTCCCAGGGACCACCAGGCCAGAGCAAGAGCCAGGGTTTTGTCTGGGGAGAGTGAGGGCCTGTAGGGGGACTAGGTGTGTGTCCCCCATGCCCTGTGTGCCCATTTGTTCTGGGCGGCCATACCACCCTGCCAGAGGAACAGGGAGGAGTTGGTGCAAACAGATGTGCAGGCCTGGGTCTGGCAAGAAGCCAGGCACACAGTAGGGCCTCAGCCCCCTGCCCCACCCCCACACGCATCCTCCTATGGCTGCGGCTTTTCAAACGGCTCCTTTTGAGCCTTTTTTTCTAAGTTAATGGACAACACATTCTCCCAAAGAGAGAGTCAGCATTTTGGACGGCTCTGGCGACACACACAGACAACCGAGGAATCTTCTCCTGGCCTTGTCTTGGGGTGGGGAGGTATCTGGGCCAGGACAGAGGGTGGCAGCGGCAAGGGCAGAAGAAAGCCTCAGATGGTCAGCGTTATCCAATTAAACTTCAGCTAAACAGCCCAAAGAGATGAAATCTGGGAACTCCCAGAATGGGTGGGGACAGGAGGGGACCCCGACCAATGGGGATGAGGGCTGGTTGACAGCTCACAGTTCTGCTTACTACTTCCTCCAGTACCCTGAAAATGTCTTTGGGTGGGGGTGCACGTTCTCCTTGGGTCCCCACCTCACCCAGGCACACCCCGCCATCCCGGGGGCCCGCCCCCCACCGCGGCGGCGTCTGTTACCTGACAACTGACACTGGCATCCAAAGGGAGCCTCCGTCTGACCCTCACCCTGAGTCCCATCGCCCGAGACGGGGCGCGCACTGCAGCACGGCAGGGGGAAGCAGGGCGGGAGGGCGCCCAGGGCACGCAGAGGTGAAGTGATCACGGATGTGTGAGGGTGGGTGGAGGAGGCAGCTATGGGGGCCATCGCTGGCAGCTGGGCAGGCCTGCATGGCCCTGGAGAAAAAACAATAGAAAAGACTGGTCAGTCGGGCCCTGGACTGCGCAAAGGGGTGGGATACGGGATGGGGCCCGGGGCGCAGGGCTGCGGGCAGCCCTTCGAGGATGGGCGGCCTGGGGTACCCAGCCCAGCAGGGAGGGCAACAGGAGCTCAGTCAGGGAAAGGGGCCAGCAAGTGGGCAAGGGCCCTGCGGGGTCCTCCTTCTACAGCTGCCAGGTGGGCTGTCTGGGGCCGGGATGCCCGCCTCTGGGGCCCCACTGCAGGGACCAGGACAAGTAGGGGCTGTCAGGGCCCCATTCCCAGGAAGGACCCCCCCAAGTAGGGACTTCTGGAGTGATCTGGAACAGACTCTGGTTAAGGGTTTGCTCCCCCAATACAGGCCACCCCTCTCCAGAAGAGCCAGGAGGCTCGACACAGCACGGGCTGTTTGCACAGGCCAGGCCCTGAAGCATTGCTGAGCCTGAGCCCTGGCTGGCCTGCCGCCTGGCCACTACCAGCTGGGGGCTCTCAGCTCAAGCCCCCAGCACCCAAGCCCAGCGTCTTTCTGTGGCTTTGACACCACTCCCACCCCGAGAAAACCGTGGCACTGCCCAGACCCTCTTGATATCTTGACCCAGCTTGGGAGGCCTCCCTGGCTGACAGCAAGGCCACAGAGCAGGGACTGCCTCAGCTCCACCCAGCCCCCCAACGCGCTGCCTAGGCTCAGCCCAGCCCCACAGTTCGCCTCAGCTCCCGGCAAGGCCTGCGTTTGATTTGGCCGTTTATCTTAAATGGCTAAGAGACCACCAGGGCAAAACATTTGTGTGAAGCCCTTGCCAAAACCACAAGTGAAGAAGCCCGAATTCCCTGGGTAAATAATCGAGCGGGGAAAGCATCAGAAAGAAAACATCAACAAGATGACAGGCAGCTGGGCCCTTGGCTCTGCGCGAGGCCATGCCTCACCTCCCGGCACAGGTCTGCCAGAGCAGGGGACTGCCCAGCTCAGGCCCGGGAAGTACCGCGGCCCTGCCAGCCCGCCACCAACCAGGAGCCTGCCAGCCTTCATCTGACTGCGCTAGGCAGGGTGCGGACACCCACTGCACAGACCAGGAAACCGAAGGCCTGACACAGAACACGGGCAGCAGGGGCAGCCCCTTGGAGACCCCACGAAGCCTGGCTCTGAGTCGGGGCTCCAGCTCTGTACACCAGCGTCTCCAGAGCACACTGTTGAGGATCAGGACACAGGACATCTGAGAAGGGAGGCTACGTCCTGCCAGGAAGCCAGCCCCCCAGTCTCCCTCCTAGGCCAGGCCTGAACCAGGGCAATGCTGAGCCAGCAACAGCCCCGGAAGGGTGCGGCCGAGGAACCCATAAGCAGCTCCTGCCACTGCGGCCGAGCTGGAGGCCCTGCCCCACATTTGGTCCAGGCCCCAGGAAGACAGCACCAGAAGCCAATGTCACCTGCCTCCTCCCGGAAGCCGGCCCAGCCCCAAAAGCCCCCCCCTGCCACTGCGGCCGAGCTGGAGGCCCTGCCCCACATTTGGTCCAGGCCCCAGGAAGACAGCACCAGAAGCCAATGTCACCTGCCTCCTCCCGGAAGCCGGCCCAGCTGCCCATGCCTGAAACCTCTGCATGGGGTGCTGCATGCTGACCCTGTCCATGACCACCTCAAACCCTACAGGGACCTCCCTGTGGACCTCGGGGGCTCCGACCATCCACCACCGGGAGTGCAGCTTTATGCTAAATGCAACACAACTGCACTGCTCGGCAGGGAACACCACCCCCATTCCACAGGGGAAACTGAGGCTCAAGGACATCCGGACTTGAACCTGGTTGTGTCTCTGAAGCCTGGCTATGTCTGCTTCTCCCTTGGGCTGCAGCTGGGGTGGAGAGACCAGAGCACCCCAGAACCTACGACCAAGGGCTGTGTGGAGATATGGGAGCCTGAGGGCCCTTGGGCTCGATCCCACCATCAGTGGGTGTGAATGGCCAAGCCAAGCTCCCGATCCTCTGTTCTGGGTGAGACCACAACATGCCAGCCCATTGCCAGCCCACTGTGCTGAGAAAGCAAAGGCAGGGGCGGGGCCTGGAACGTGGTTCCAAGTGCTGCTGGAGCTGACTGTGGAGGAAGGACAAAGAGCAGGGAGAAGCAGGTCCAGCCACACTCCTCCTGGGAAGGCGGAGGCAGTCACCGCCAAGTGACAGGGCGGGGGCTGGGTGCCCTGGGCAGGCTCCTACTGGCCTTCACTGGGGATTCTGACCACGATGGAGCCCACCTGCTCTCAGGTGCTCTCAGAGCATCAGGTTAAGCTCCGAAAAGGAAGGGTTGGGCTTCAACACCTGCCCCAGGCCACCGGCCAGCCACTGTCTTCCTTGAGAAATGGTGCTTACCTTTAAAAATGGGGCCAAGACCCAGTTACATGACCCAGACCAAGCAAGCACCAGAACACACACACAGAGGAGCCAGAGCTACAGAGCTCAGAGACCACACACCCTAGAGAGATGGAGGCCAAGGTTCAAATTCCCTCTCTGTCCTTTTCTGACCAAGGAGCCCAAAGCAAGTTACTTTTTCGGAACTTCCATTCCCTTGTCTTTAGGAGAAAGGTCAGGAGAACCCTCGGCCAGAGCCAGCAGATGTAACAGCAAGCAACAAACAGTCACTGGAGTTCATTATTTTCACTTCTGGAACTTTTCCTGCTCCCTATGGGGCCATCCATGGCAGTCAGGCAGAGAAAGCTTGAGGTCCTCTGTGCACAGGACAGCACCCCACAAAGCCCTACGAGACACTCATTTCAAAAACACCTTCTTTTGAGGTCTACACCCGGTTCCCCTCTGGAATTTGAACAGACGCGTGTGCACCAAGAAGTAGGTTGCAGAAGGACCCCAAGAGCCCCTCGGCTTTATGGGATCCAGCAGGCTTAAAGAAAAACCCCCGCTGGCTCTGTTTCTTATCATGGAAGTTCACTTTCATTAGGGAACAAGAAATAAACAATTAATACCTGGAAGCCCAGCAGTCTTCCTGTAATTAAGGCCCACCCTCTCACGTGAGCAAACTGAGGCTGGGAAAGGCCAAGGGACATGCCCTGGACGACGGGGCTTTGTGGGGGTCAGGACCAGCCTCCTCGTTCTAGCCATCACATACAGAGAGTTCCCCCTCCCCAAAAAAGAGTGTAAGAATAAGGCCCCTGAAATATTCCTTAAGCTCCCAGACAGGGAACAGGGTGACTTCTAGTGCTTTCAGGGTGTTGAGCGCCACAGGAGGTCTGTAGTCCCTCTCCTTCCTGGAGGACCTCACAGAGGCTCAGCATTCATCCTCAGGCATGCGCACTAGCCAGCGACACGCCCACACTGAGTGTGTAGGCACCAAACGCCTGGAAAAGCCCCAACCTGGTTTGGAGAGGAATGCAAGCCCCCTCACCACTGGATTCTCTGGGGCGTCCCCTCCCCAGCGGGTAGGTTACAGATAGGGCGTTCTGAACTAGAGCCAGGTGGTCTGGATACAGGGTGCAGGAGATGTATATTTTTCTTCCTACCGGTGCCTTTCAGTTGATACATTTTTTAAGCCCAGAACTCCTACTGATAGTGCAGAAATGAGTCATAGATCAAGGGAGGAGACAGACAGGGAGCTAGCACATGTGAGTGAGGGACCCTGGCAAGGGAACCTGACAGTCCCCGCGCCCCCTCCCCCCACGCCAAGACATTAATTCTCACAAGTCGGAGAAAATTACTATGCATGAATGCAAAAAGCATGATCAGGAGTAATTAACATGGCTTCATATGCAAATTTTATTAATGCAGAAGTACAAAGTCATTATGCAAATGAAACTTACGTCAACTCTCTTGACAAATATTCATCTCTGAGGCTCAAGTTTCTCCCTTTTTATTTATTTATTTAATTCTCCCCCCTACACCCCTTTTCCTAGTGGTTTTTTTTTCCTTCGGTGGGGAAAAGACGTGAAGAGGGAGGTGGTACTGGTGGCCCCCACAGTGGCAGCCAGCCCACAGGGCTGCCACAGGGGCAAAAAGCCACAAGGACTGTTTGACAAGTTTGTAAAGTTGTTTTTCAACCAAAGAAATTTATTCTCACATTGTTGATTTTTTTTATTTTTTTTAATTTATTTATTTTTTTGGTTGTTGGCAGGTACAAGACAGCTCATAGGAGAAGGGGGGAAAAATTAAAAAAAAAAAAAAAAAAAAGCTCTGGGCAGCAGGCAGCCAATCAAAATGCCAGAGCCTGTAATGAGGGCGATTGATGGCTGTTTGGCTTTTACTGCAGGGTAATGAACTAGAATCCAGTCTGAGGAGGGGGGGAAAATATGAATATTCATGAGACTGTGCTCCTGCCTTTGATGATTAAAGAAATTTTTAATATTCAAATAAGCGCTTGCCAAGTGATTAACAAAGAACAAGCACGCAGAAATATGGAAATGGGAGCCGGGAAAGATTCGAGGCGAACGCACTGTGCAAGAAAGGCAGCCCCAAATTTCATAAACGAGATGGGCAGATAACCCAACGCGCACGCGGGCAAATAAAAACATTTCTTTCCGATCGCTTAAATATTTTGCCAGCCACTTTGTCTTAAGGCTGATAAAAATGCTATGGATTCAGGGAGGGGGAGAAAACGTGAAGTCAATGCAGGGCTCACGCTGAAGAATCATCCTGATCCTGCGCCTCCTCCCACCCCGAAGGGAAATTAGGGCTCTTTCCGGTTTGCCAGAGAAAAGGAGAAGCCAGCTCAGACTTGAATGCCTGGGATTCAGGCGGGCCTGTTGGGGTACCTCTGCCTGGTGACTGGCCCGGGTCGCAATGGTCATTATGGGTGGTCACCTACTGCTCCTAGGCTCATCCAGATGCCAAACAGTAAGGGACTGTGACGTCTAGAAGGGTGAGATGTGACCACCGTGTCCACATTCTGGAGAGCTCAGGCCTGCTAGGGACCCGGGCCCAGGTCAGGCACATAAAGGACGGTAACAGGGAAAACAGGCTCTTGCCGAGAGGTGGCCAAGGCTCAGACCTT